TGAAGGGATCACTTCAAGCAAGCAAATGAAGCAAAGCCTCTCTGGTTGGAATGGCTTAGTCTTTCCATTGGTTCTTGAAGAGGCTCTGAGGAATCTGCAGAACTCACAGAGTAGAGAGGGGAAAAGCATTGTAAGAGATAAGATTGGATTTTCCCTTTTCAAGGCATTGTGGATGCAGGAGCAATGAGTGAACTGAGTGACTGAATGACATAATCAGAACTTTGTTTTAGTAGGGTTAATTGGTAGCTGATTCCATTAAAAGGACAGTTTATTCCTTTAATAAATACTTCTTCAACAGCTAGCACAGTGCTAGATATTATTTAATGCATGAAGCAAGGATACTTTTAGTTCTTCCTTATTGTCACTTGATCTTATAGTGTCCTGTATTATTACTTGAGTTTATGTGTTTAGGGGTGATCTCCTTAATGAGAGATCTTTAGCCTTTGAAAATAGGAAATTCTTTGTATGCTTATAGCCCCATAGTGTTGGGAACCGAATAGATAATCATTGAATTTCTTTTTTCCTTTCCTTATGTCTGGATGATACAGAGATTATATAAAATATGGTCTTTGAGTGCAAGATAAAGTGTAAGTAAAGAACACTGTGTATGTGTATACATATTATATGAAGTAGAAAGAGATTTTTATATGAGCTGTAAATAATGTTTTCAACATAAGAGAAGGAAATTCTTTCCAGTTAGGGAAGTCAGGGAGAACTTCATAGAAAAGGTAGTTTTTGGGTAGACATTTAAAGATTGGGTATAATTTCAGTAGTAAGAATGGGGATCAGGCATTCTAGGCAGAACGGTGTGATCAAAGGAACTGGAACAGGAAATGTATGGGACAGTTGGGAAATGCAGACCGTCTACTTCCAAGAGAGAAAAAGGAGAGAGAAAAATAGTTATAGCCGGATTGTGAAGGGTTCTGAATTCTAAAAGTGTTTGATTTTTTTTTCTAGTAAAAAGAGGAAAGGCAGAAGGGATGAGAGGACTATAGGATGGTAGAGGTGCAAGGTCATTAGAGGTGTGCTTCAGAAATATTAGTGTGACAGCATTGTATATTATGGATTGCGTTAGAGTGTAGGGTCAGATGCAAAGATTCTGGAGATAGGAAGTTAAATCAGAGATTATTATAAATGATCTGGGGAGAAATACGATCTGGCATGGTATATTGTCAGGGCACTTTGAGAATAAGGACAGCTTTAAAGAGGTTTTGATGGTACAATCTGTAGGATTTGGTTACTGCTGCTTGTAGAATGTAAAGGAGAGTGGGTCAGATGAATCAGGTGTTAAATCTTGGTGTCTTAGCATGAGAATCGTAACAGATAAAGGTTTTACAAGGAGGAACAGGTTTGGAGATAATTATGTGTTTGGCTTTCTGAAATGTACTTTGAGATAGTGTCAGCTTTTCCTGGCATTTATTTGGTTGAAACTATGGGAAGTGATGAAATCGCCCAAGGAATAGAGAGGGAAGGAAAGAGGGCAAAAGCCAGAATCATACAGATTACTTAGAGACTAAGAAGAGCCAGAGATGGAAACAGGAAGGAGTAGTTGGAGTAGTAGGAGACAGATCAGGAGAATGTATTAAATTAGTCAAGAGAAGAAAGTGCCTAAGGAAAAATAAGTGATCAGTATTGTTAAGTGGGCATAGATACTGAGGATGGTAGAGGTTGTAAAAGATTATTGGGTTTGGTGGCTCAGTAGATGACCTGTTAAATATAAGGAGTAAATTGTGAGTGATTGGCAAAGATAGCAGAATCACACTCCATTAACAAATGGATCACAGTTGACTTTCTAAGGGCAATTGCTAGTTTTGAGCCTCCTTCTTTGTTTTGTGTTGGGGCCAGAGTGGAATTTATGGGGAATGCCTTCCATTGCATGTTAGCCAGATTCCCTGGTTTACCACCATTACTATTTTCTTTTCTACTTTGTGGTAAAAAAGCTGGAGAAGTAGCTAGAGGACTATTGTTTCTCGGTTTCTCTCATTTCTCCTAGAGTTTTAAAATTGCATATAATAGCATTGATGATTGCTTTTGTTTTTTCTACATATGTAGGTGAGCCTGGGTTTTTAACAGTGATTATGGTAAGTTGATGTTCTGAAATCCTTTGGCCTTTTGAGGAGATAAAAATGAAATAATGGATCAGATTGGTCTTTAGAGTATGTTTGATGCCTTACTCAACAAAATAGGTAACCCTATGTTGGTCTCCCAATATTACTTTTCAATTCTTATAAGCTTCTACAATCCAAAAGTCTAGGAGCTATTTGACTTTTTCTCTCTGGTTTATTTTACTTAGTGTAATACCTTCCAGGTCCGTCCATGTTGTTGCAAATGCCAAGATCTCACCTTTTTTTCTGTCTAATATTCCATTGTGTGTGTGTGTGTGTATACACCACATCTTCTCTATTCATTCCTTTATTGACGGGCATGTGAGTTGCTTCCGTATCTTGGCTATTATAAATGATGCTGCAGTAAACATAGGGGTGCATATATATTTTGAATTAGTGTTTTTGTTTTCTTTGGTAAATACCCAGTAGTGGAATTACTGGATCATATGGTATTTCCACCTTTACTTTTTTGAAGAACCTCCATATTGTCTTCCACAGATACTATATTAATTTACATTCCCACCAACAGTGGACGAGGGTTCCTTTTTCTCTGCATCTTTGCCAACACTTGTTATCTCTTTCTTTTTTGATTTTAGCCATTCTTACAAGTGTAAGATGATATCTTATTGTGGTTTTGATTTGCATTTTCCTGATGATTAGTGATTTTGAGCATCTTTTCATGTATCTGTTGGCCATTTGTATGTCTTCTTTGGAAAAGTGTTTAATCAGGTCCTCTGCTTTTTAATTGGATTTTTTGTTTTTGGTGTTGAGTTGTATCAGTTCTTTATAAATTATATATATTAACCCCTTATCATATATATCATTTGCAAATATCTTCTCTCATTCAGCAGGTTGCCATTTTGTTTTGTTGATGGTTTTGTTCCCTGTGCAAAAAACTTTTTATTTTTATATAGTCCCAGTGGTATATTTTGGCTTTTGTTTCCCTTGCCTTAGGAGACACACCATATGATTTCACTTATATGTGAAATCTAAAAAACAAACAAATGAATAAAACAAACAAAGTAGAATCAGACCTATTAATATAGAGAACAAACTGATATTGCCAGTGGGGAGGGGGTGAGGGGATGCACGACATGGGTGAAGGGGAGTAGGGGATACAGGCTTTGAGTTATGGAATGAATAAGTCACAGGGATATAAGGTACAGCATAGGGAATATAGTCAATAGTGTGTAATAGGGTTGTATTTAACAGATGGTAACTACACTTGTGAGCACAGCATAACCTATAGTTGTTGACTCACTGTGTTGTACACCTGAAACTAATGTAACAGTGTGTGGCAACTATGCTCAAATAAGAAAAAAAAGGAGAAAAGTAAAAGAAAAAATCTAGGAACTATTTGAGATGTTTGTTAAAGGAAGGAGTGAGATGAGGAAGAAATCTGTAAAAACATGGCTTAGAGCATAGTTATTTAGGGTAGATCAAACCTGTTTATAGGACAAGCAGGAAGTAAGGGTAAGTAATTGGAGAAGGGATAGAATGGCTAATAATGGATGGAGAAAGATTACAGAGAAGCCAAGCGAGGTCTGAATTGAATTATGGATTAGGAGAATCTTAATGATACGGATTTTTCTCTAGACAGGTTGGTGCAAACGCTGTAAGGGGTAGGATAGTGGGTTGGTACTTTATAATATGAATTTGTATATACCAAAAGAGGTGCTTTTGGTTGGTATTCAGAGTACCATAGTGACTGATTTATATATGTAAACTTAGAAGGGAGTAAGGCATTCTTTTGAGTTGGAATTATATAAAAATTATAAAATTAATAAAAAATAAAAAATTATAAAATATTCTAACTCATTGAAAATTTATCACTTTTTTGAACATACCTCAGTGGCTTCTCTTATGAAATTATTTCAGTCTTCGGTCTGGATGCCAGTTTATCCTTTACCTTCCTAGTTAATCTATGCTCTATTTCATACTCTTTTAAATCTAGACTATATGGAAATAATTCAGGCTTGTGTCCAGCCATGTTGGAGACCATTGGCATGTGAATAAAACTTGTTTTTGTGGAGACGCCTGGGTGGCTCAGTTGGTTAAGTGTCTGCCTTCGGGTCAGGTCATGATCCCAGGGTCCTGTGATTGAGCCCTGTGTCAGGCTCCCTGCTCAGTGGGGAGTCTGCTTCTCCCTCTGCCCCTCCCCCCTGCTTGTGCTCTCTCTTTCTCTCTCAAATAAATAAATAAAATCTTTAAAAAAAACCTTGTTTTTGTTTGCTGTAAATTATACAAATATATAATATTTTTTATTCTTTTGGATAATTTTTCTGTTTGTGTAGCACAGTTTTTTTTTTTTTTAAAGATTTTATTTATTTATTTGACAGAGAGAGGTATAGCGAGAGAGGGAACACAAGCAGGGGGAGTGGGGAGAAGCAGGCTTCCTGCTGAGCAGGGAGTCTGATGCAGGGCTCAGTCCCAAGACCCTGGGATCATGACTTGAGCTGAAGGCAGATGCTTAACGACTGAGCTACCCAGGCGCCCTAACAGATTCTTTTCAGTATTGATTCTGACCAGTGTAGTAGATCCCAGACTTACTCTTTTTACTTAAAAAATTTAAGTAATCTTTTATATGCTTTTAAAGTTAGACTGGGGCCTATAAAAATCAAATCTAATATTATGGCAAACATATATCTTAGGTTTTCTGGGGGTGATTCAGAAATTTAGATATTCTGTGTGATAGTCAGATAGTTGTATAGTTGGCTTTGAAAACATAGTTGCTGAACTAGGATTAGCCTCTAAAATAGCCAGTAGGTAAAAGGACATAAAAGGAGCTGTAAGTAATAACCTGATGAATTAAGTCACTGTGATGAATTTATTTATTATCTACTCAAGATTTATATTAAAGCTATATATCCTGTCATTGTTTGCTTTCTGATGCAGTTTTCAACTTGACCAACAATGTGGATTTGGATAACACCAAAAAGAAAATGGAGATGTATCAAAAGGAAAACAAAGATGTCATTCAGAAAAATAAGTTAAAGCTGGTTGGTTGCTGAGTATTTTCTTCTTTTGTATTAGAAATGAATGCTTCCATATGATCCCTGAAAAGCTATCTTCCTCTAAAACGAATTAAATTTACAAAGAATTTAGCTGAAGTCCAGAGCAGAAATACTGTATATGTATATAGGCACGTAGATAGGAGGCACACTGTAGCTATAACAACTTTGATAGCATTATTAAAATATATTCTGTAAAGGAAGAATTGTGGGCATGCAGAGATTTGTACTTATACAAACTTAACACAATTTAGCTGTTATTTCTTTAACCCTTGCCTTTCTAGTTTTGGAGGAAAGCAGAAGTATTTATTTTTGAGGTAATTTATCAGGAATTTGTGATTGTTGGTCAAAATGATACTAGTCATATCTGGATCACATAGCTTGTGTTTTCATTTTGTGTTTAGAAGGACTTCCTCCTTATAGTCTTAGGACTGTTTCATTTAGGTACTTCTTTCTTGCCATAAAGCTCTCAAGGAATTGACACTACATTCTCATTCCATTCATACCCAGCCTGACTTCCTTAGAAAGGTGTTTCATTTCTAAGAGGATCAATGTGCCATAAAAATGACTCTCTTGGGGTGCCTGGGTGGCTCAGTTGGTTAAGCAACTGCCTTCGGCTCAGGTCATGATCCTGGAGTCCCAGGATCGAGTCCCGCATTGGGCTCCCTGCTCAGCAGGGAGTCTGCTTCTCCCTCTCCTGCTCCCCCCTCTTGTGCTCTGTCTCTAAAGTAAATAAATAAAAATCTTTAAAAAAAAAAAAAAAAGACTCTCTTTGCCCAGTAGCCTTCTCTGGGTACATTAGAAAATACATGCAAAATAGGTATGCCTAGGTAACTTGTTGCATTAGCCCCATTTAACTCATTAATAGAAGGATGTTCCTTTCAAGTGAATACTTTTTTTCATTCAGCATTTTAAGCTAGGAAATATTGACAGTTGCTGTAAAAGAATAATCTAATTTCAAGCTGGTTATTTATTTTAAGGCAGAAATTTCTGATTATCTGAAAACTTTATAATGATAGGTTATTGAATAAAACAAATTCTTTCAATGGGAATATTTGAATTGCTTTTATTCTTTTTATTCTATTAATGTTTAATACCTAGCTATGTTTTAACTAAGTGATTTGGTCAGTAATTCATTAACATTTATTAACTAATCATTCTGTGCAGAATGTTATAACTACTAGTGATACTGACCTGGGTATTTGGTATTGCATAAACATACAGAGATAGGACCACATTTTTTAAGACGATGCTAGTTGACCTTTACCAGTAACTTGGTATCATTGAGTAGAGCCCAGCTCTCTTGTGGCCAGTGAAGTATGGACTAACTTACATGGCTGATGTCTTTTTACTAACCTAAGACAGCAACTTGCTTTTCATGTCTCTGTGAATGTTGAAGTCTCACTGTTCTAAAAACATCAAAGTTGTATCAAAGAAGAAAAGAAAAAAAGTCTTCTGCATGATTAGTCATCTAAAGCAACCCATTTCTGACATAGAGAAACTGTTATTGAGCTGTCTGCTAAGGAGATCTTATTTGTTTCATGGAGCTGGTACCTATCATCAATCAGTGTGAACATGCAGAAACTGAATGTGATCTAATCTTCTGACTTTTTTTTTTATTATGTTATATTAATCACCATACATTACATCATCAGTTTTGTGATCTAATCTTGAAGTAGAGTCTTAGTGAAGATTAGCTTTAAATATTTATTCTATTCTATTCTACTTATTTATTATTTCATTGAACTACAGTTGTAACTACATTGTTAACAGTAGTTTCAGGTGTATAATATAGTGATTCAACAAGCATATACAATATGCTATTCTCATCACAAGTGTAGCTATCTTCTGTCACCATACAGCATTATTATAATACCACTGACTATATTCTCTATGCTGTACCTTTTATCTCTTAGTTTATTCATTCCATAACTGGAAGCTTGTATCTCCTTCTCCCCTTCACCCATTTTGCCTTCCCCCGACCCCTTTCCCCACTGGCAACCACCAGTTTGTTCTCTGCATTTATTCGTCTGTTTCTGCTTTTTGTTTGTTTGTTTATTCATTTGTTTTATTTTTTTTAGATTTCACATGTAAGTGAAATCATATGGTATTTGTCTTTCTTTGACTTCTGACTTATTTCATTTAGCATAATACCCTCTAGGTCCATCTGTGTTGTTGCAAATGGCAAGATCTCATCCTATCTTTATGGCTGAGTAATATCCCTGTGTGTGTGTTTGTGTGTGGGGGGGGGCAGGGTGTGTATGTACATTACATCTTTTTTATCCATTCAGTTGTCATTGGACACTTGGGTTCCTCCCATATCTTGGCTGTTATAAATAATGCTGCAATAAATATAGGCGTGCACATATCTTTCTGAATCATTGTTTCGTTTTATTTGGGTAAATATCCAGCAGTGGAATTACTGGGCCATATGGTGTTTCTATTTTTAATTTTTTGAGGAACTTCCATATTGTTTTCCACAGTGACTATACCCATTACATTTCCACCAGTAGTGCACAAGAGTTCCTTTTCTCCACATCTGGCCAACACTTGTTATTTAAAATTAGCTTAATTTTTATTTTCAATTTTCTAGATTCTCATGAGCAGCAGAGATTGCTGTGTAGAATGTCAGTTTAGCAAAATAAAAAAAATCAGTTCATAACATTTGTTGAACATCTGCTAAGCATATTGTACAGAAAGATGAATAAGAAGCCAGGTAATTTCAATACAATGTCATAAGCATGTGGAAAGTGCTGTGTGCTTGTTTTTATAGGAGTATAGAGGAGGGGTAACTAATCCATTCTGATAATATTGGGAAAGGCATTCCAGGTGAGATGATGCCTGAATGGGAGCCTTAAAGGACAAGCAGAACTTAAGGTGAAGAAGATGGGACAAGGGTGGAAATAGGGACACTGAACAAGGACATTCCAGGCAGAAAGAAATCATAAGCAAAGGCAAGAAGTTCTGAGAGGTTTTAGTAGTTTTATATTGCCAAAGTTCAACAGAGAGAGAGAGAGTTGAAGTTGGAGAAGTAGAAAGGGCGTAGGTCACATAAGGAAATTTATTATGAAAAGTAATTTGGGCTTAAATAGACCAGCTGTGTGTGTGTGTGTGTGTGTGTGTGTTTAGAGGGAGAGAGAGAAAGTGGCAGGAGGAGCAGAGGGAGAGAGAGAATCCTAAGCAGGCTCCACATGCAGTGCACAGCCTGACCGTGGGATTTGATCCCGCAAGCCTGAGATCATGACTGAAATCAAGAGTTGGACGCTTAACTGACTGAGTCACCTAGGTGTCCAGTTGTTTTTATGTTTTAATAGGTGAACCTTTACTTCAAATGAAAGCTTGCTTGGAATACTTTTGTTGTTAAAGTGATAATGGGAGGAGGGATAGGCTGAATTTCCATTTATTTAATCTTTTCTGTGGTGTACCTTAGGCATCTTATTAGAGAGTTCCAAGATTCCTTGGAGTAATGTTACAAAAACGTGGCTGTGGATGATTTTCATTGAAGGGTTTTAAACCAAGTGGTAATAAGGTATTGTCTGTGTTAGAATAAATGTAGTGGTTTGGTGGAGGTTGAATTTGAGAGAATCAAGCTTGGAGTTTGGGAAGCCAATGGGAAGTTATTGCAGTTATGTTGGTGAATTTAGAGGTGACTTAAACAAGAAATGGAAAGGTGGGGATGAATTGGAGAGATAGTTTGAGTTTAAAATAGCAAGTCCTACTGATGGATTAGGAGTGGGAGGTGAAGGCAAGGGAGGTTGATTGGGTAAGGTAGTATTAGGAAGAACACAGAGACCTTTAGTTTTCAACCTGCTTCCCTTCTCTCAGTCCAATACCTTCTTCATTGTCCCCAGTGTTTGATTTTTAATGATGGCTGTTTTTCCATTTATTCAGTCAGCTAGCTAGCTAATCAATATTTATTGAGGCCTACTATGTCCAAGATACTCGCATATTCTATTTCAGTGAGAAAATTGAGGCTACCAGTTTCTTATTGTTAAAAACGATAGACTATTAGGTCTGAATCTCATTTGGCCTGTTGGCAGTGTTTGGTGTAGCCTCCTCCCTTGATACTGAAACCCTATTCTTTAACTTCTGTGGGGCCACTCCATTCCTCATCCTGCTGCTCTCACCTTCCCCTTTCATCTTCTTAAGAGGTTTAGCTTTCCTTCCTGACTCCTAAAACATGGTTCCTTTCAGTGCTTCTCTTTATGAGTTACCCCTTTATACTAATTACTTTCAAATGTTTCTGTAGCACATTGTTTTTTCTCCTGAGCTCCTAGAATTATACTATGTAATATATACATATATCTATAAATAGTTAATAGATATTTATTTCTTGATGTATTATAGGCACTTTTAATTCAGCATTCCAGAGCTGAGTTTTTAAATCTTTAGCACTTGTTTCTACTATTATGTTCTTTATCCAAGTGTTCAAGCTGTATCTGGTCTGTCTTACTATACTGTTGATAGTCTCTGCTCATCATTTTTCAAATCTGGTTCCCCCTCCATTTCTATTATTATTATTACCTTATTTAGGACTCTCATCATTTCTTATCTGGTTTTCCTGTTTTCAGTGATGGCCCGATTGATCTGTATACTTTACTGCTTCTAGTTGTCTTTCTAAAGTTATCCCTCAAATTTCCCTAATTTTTTTCTGATTGTCTTAGTATGGCTCACATTGCCGTAGTGTGGTATGAGGACCCTCCATGATCTGCCCTCTGCTTGCCTTTTCAGTTTTATCTAGAACTTTTCCCCACCCCCATACTTCATGACTTGGCCATACCACTCATTCCAGCTTTATTCATGTCTTTGCATCTTTGTTTTGTCTGCCTGAATAGCTGTTCTACTCTCTAATGGGGGCAAATACCTACTGTTTGAAGTCTTAGCTCAACCTCTTAGGTTTCCTAGGGTTGCTGTAACAAATTATTAAAAACTGGGTGACTTATAACAGGAATTTATTATTGTTCTAGAGTCTAGAATTCTGAAATTAAGGTGTTATCAAGGTCATGCTTTCTCTAAATGCTCTAGGGAAGAATCCTTCCTTGCCTCTTCTAGCGTCTGGTGGTTGTCAGCAACCTTCAGTGTTACTCTGATCTGTACCTTTGTCTTCACATGGCCTTCTCCTCTGTGTCTGCATTTCTAGTATGACTCCATCTTAACTTGATTACATCTGCAAAGACCCTGTTTTCAAATAAGGTCACATTTACAGGTACCAGGGGTTAATTAAGACTTTCAACATATATTTTGGGGGATATATTTAACCCACAACACTCTATATGAAATCTTTTCTTTCTCTGTGTGTCCTTTATCACTGCAAGGAGAGTTTACCAGTCTATCGATTCTATTTTCACTGTACCCTCTTTAACACTTGTTACACTTAATTGATTACATGTCACTATTTTACTGTGAGGCTCATCTTTTTCTGCTTATATGCCTCTAATCAAGTAGTTTACTTTTCCCTTTCATATCTCAGCCCCTAACTTTCTACATTTATTCCTACTAATTCTTCTAGCTAAAGTTTGAATTCTCTTCTCCACTGGGGGCCTGAGTTAGAGTAGCAACCTTGCCAACAGAGAAGGAAGAGTTTGTAAAATTATAGGGAGAGATGCTAGTAGGATGTAGCAACTGATTTAAGGGGAACGGGGGTGGGGTGGCAGAGAGGAAGTAAACAGGGATGAATTTATGGTTTCAAATGGAGTTGACTGAGATGTAGGTGTGCACTTAGTGGACATAAGGAATATAGGAGTATGATCAGCTTTGGGAGATCAGATGCTAAACTTAATTTTGGGTCTAGTAGTGAGTTTGAATTGTAGGTGAAACATCTTTTTGTTTGAGAACTTTATCTAATGTGTGAATTGAAAAAAAAATCTAATAGAGGGTTTTAAATATTTATGTAAAATATATATTTTTCTCTGAGGTCTTCATTATTCATATATTATATTCATGATGCTCAAACCTATTATGCTCTCTTCCTCTATTCTGTATTTACTTGAAGTGCCATAATTTCTCAGTGTTCTGTCAAATTAAAAAAAAAAGAGCTTTAAAATAAAGCCATTTAGATTTTACTGTATTTTTCATTCATAAGAATTAAAGAGCAAAGACTAGGTATATGATTGCTTTGAAGTATGACTTAGAATTGTAATAAATTTCAGAGCCTGGAATTATTTCTGAGGAATTCCATTAAAGGAGAATGAGTAGAACTATGGTTCATTCTGTTTACATATTAGCTTTGAATTTTGAATTTTTCAGTGCACAAATTTATGTGCTTATGTTAAAAAATAACTTCAGTTTTTTACAGCTTCCCTTAAGTGAATGCTATTTGGAACTCTAGCATCATGAAGACTTATTTCAGCTTGGGAAAAAGCAGTTCAGTACAGTGATAACTTTTCATTATCTGGAATGTTCTGGAAATTGTTTCTGTTAAATAAGCCAGTCTTTTCAATGGAGTCTTTCAGTTAGTAGCTCTGTATATGGACTGTCTCTTTGTTGTTTTTGTTGGGTTTTTGGTTTTGAATGACTTGAAACTATCTGTAATAATTATAAATAAATCCATTACTAAGCACATTTCCTGCAGATGGGCGCAGTGTACTTGTTTAGGTGTTTGTTTAATGGTAGGTGTCATTCTCTTTGATAGTACCATGTCCACATGAAATTAAATGAACTCTAGTTCCCTCAGAGTAGAAATGCTGCTCTATTAAACTGTGACTAGTGTGTTTCATGCTTCCAAAAAAGAAAGTGTCAGAGTGTAGTTAGGATTGATTTTGGTTACTAAATTTATTCCATGCTGTATATAAATATTTCTATTTTAGACTCGGGAACAGGAGGAATTGGAAGAGGCTTTAGAGGTAGAAAGACAGGAAAATGAACAAAGAAGACTGTTTATACAAAAAGAAGAACAACTGCAGCAGATTCTAAAAAGGAAGAATAAGCAGGCTTTTTTAGATGAACTGGTATGTATTAATAAATAGTGCATTCCTATTTATTATGCTGGATAATGGCATTTAAATGGCATTTCTACTGGTATATTCAATGCTGGTGTATTCAACTTCTGTTCCTTCATAAAAAAAACAGTTTGTCAATATCCGGTTTATTTTCAGATGAGAAAGGAATATAACTGATGTTAGACAGTGTACTATTTATAGGTTATTTATGTGTTTTTAAACTTACTGACTAAAACTCATTGTTTTCAGAGCAATTTTCTCCTGAATAGTACTGGATCTCTTATAACTAGCTCCTTTTTAAAAAAAAATTTTTTTATTGTTATGTTAATCACCATACATTACATCATTAGTTTTAGATGTAGTGTTCTATGATTCATTGTTTGTACACAACACCCAGTGCTCCATGCAGAACGTGCCCTCCTCAATACCCACCACCAGGCTAACCCATCCTCCCACCTCCTCCCCTCTAGAACCCTCAGTTTGTTTTTCAGAGTCCATCATCGCTCATGGTTCGTCTCCCCGTCCGATTTCCCCTTCATTCTTCCCCTCCTGCTATCTTCTTCTTCTTTTTTTTCTTAACATATATTGCATTATTTGTTTCAGAGGTACAGATCTGAGATTCAACAGTCTTGCACAATTCACAGCGCTTACCAGAGCACATACTCTCCCCAGTGTCTATCACCCAGTCACCCCAGCCCCCACTCCAGCAACCCTCAGTTTGTTTCCTGAGATTAAGAATTCCTCGTATCAGTGAGGTCATATGATACATGTCTTTCTCTGATTGACTTATTTCGCTCAGCATAACACCCTCCAGTTCCATCCACATCGTTGCTAATGGCAAGATCTCATTCCTTTTGTTGGCTGCATAATATTCCATTGTATATATATATACCACATCTTTTTTATCCATTCATCTGTCGATGGACATCTTGGCTCTTTCCACAGTTTGGCTATTGTGGACATTGCTTAACTAGCTCCTTTTTAAGTATTTGGGCTTCATGGTGAAATTTATAGTGATTCTAGTTACTCTGTGAGAACTGTGTTTCATATTTTTGCATGAGAAAATGCAAATGCCATTTCCAAAGAAATGGCAGTGTTTTGTGAGTTGTGTTTCCGAATAGTTAGCTCCCCAAGTATTCACCATTGTTAGATAACAGCAATAATAATAACTAAGGTTTATGAAGTGTTTCATAGATTTGACAATATATTATTTGATGCTTATAAGCTGGAGTCATACTGATAAAATCACAGTAGAAATGATCCTCTCCAGAAAATCTATTTGCATTCTTCTCTTTCCTTTTCTGTCCACATAATTAATTTCTTTTTTTTAACCTTTTTTTTATTATGCTAATCACCATATATTACATCATTAGTTTTTGATGTAGTGTTCCATGATTCATTGTTTGCGTATAACACCCAGTGCTCCATGCAGAACGTGCCCTCTTTAATACCCATCACCAGGCTAACCCATCCCCCCATCCCCCTCCCCTCTAATTAATTTCTATGTGGTGTTAACATACTTTAATTCTTTGGTCTAGTTGATACGGTGTTTGTTACTGTATGATTGGGTAAATGTGTATGTATATATTTTTCTACTGTTCTTTTGGCCAAAAGTTAGCTAACCAGGAATAAAAAGAGAAAGCAAGATAATTAAATTAGAAGTAGGTGAGAAAGTAAAGGAAAGAGTAAGGGCATTAATGAGGCTTAGATAGAAAATGCTTATCATAAACCCTATCTACTTTGTATAAGTGGAATATGAATTGGTTTCTAAAAATGAAGACAGTAGCATATAAAATAGAATATGGTATTTTCCTTAGCAATTTCCATTAATTTTTCTTGAAACTATTAAGTGTCAGTTGTGGCTTTTTTTTTTTTTTTAAGATTTTTTTTATTTATTTGAGAGAGAGAGAGCACGTGAGAGGGGGGAGGGTCAGAGGGAGAAGCAGACTCCCCGCCGAGCAGGGAGCCCGATGCGGGACTTGATCCTGGGACTCCAGGATCATGACCTGAGCCGAAGGCAGCCGCTTAACCGACTGAGCCACCCAGGCGCCCAGTTGTGGCTTTTAACAGTTGAAATGACACATGTATTTCACATTTTTTGTTGATATTATCTTGTGAGAAATTGAAAACTTTAAAGAATGAATTAGTATATATTGATGTTAAAATTATTTTTTTTAAATTTTATTTTATTAGGTTATGTTAATCACCATACATTACATCATTAGTTTTTGGTGTAGTGTTAAAATTATTTTATTTAAAGTTTCTTTCCCCCATCATTTTATACAAAGAAGAACACACTTTCCTTGGTAACCCTTCTCCTTTGTTCAATTAATTGAATTAATTCAAAATATAGTACTTAGATATGAAATGAAGGTACAGTTTAACATTTAAAAATACTGCATCTAAATAGTTTTTAGATTTAATTTTGAGGTTAGCTAGCTTTGCATAGCAATTACTCTTGCATATTTTTTTAGCCCTCAAAGTAATAAGTTTTGCTGCCTCATTGAGCTGCTATTGGCATGAAGCTCCCCTTTAATTCAGTGGGGCATGAAGCAAGATGTGAAACTGCCAATGTTGTACATTGTGTATAATCTGGAGTTAATATTGGTTTTTGTGAGACCCGCCCCCCCCGCAACTTCCTGTTTTCTTCACCTGCAAGTCATTACTGCACATACTTTCTTCACCATTTAGATCATGTAACATGGTGGTTAAATAATCCTTAGCAATTTACTGTATTCATTAGAACAATGAATTACAATAGATTGTTTTAGAATATCAGTACGTTTTGAATTTCTGGTTTCGTAATTTTATTTTTAAAAATTCTGTTACTTTAATTTTTTAATAATCATTAAATTTTTTGTTAAAATGTAACCATATGTTTTAGTTCTTATTGACTAATTGAAAGTATTTATTAAATTTCTTTTTATCTTCCTGGATCCCTAGTAAGTAAAAAAACACATTCTATTTCTTTCTCTATGTTTGTTCATGTATTAGATTCTATAAAATAGATAATTTGGCATTTGTAAATATGTCTAGAAGCTTAAATCTTAGAATTATTCTCTGGATCTAATTTAGGCAACAAGTACTACTTATTAGAATTTTTTTCTCCTGTGTTTGGGTTTGGTTTTTGTGCTAATGGTCACTTTTTAACCTTTAAAACGCATTACGTTATACTGTATGTGACAGGATTTTAATGTTATGGTCTTAATGTTTATGGCTTAGCATTTACCATAATGTTGCCTAAAAAGTCCATTTATTTAATCCTAACTGTAAATTCAATTTTTTTTAACAGTTTGGGAAAAGATTTTTAAACAGGTCCTGACTTATTAAATCTTTTTATATTCCTATTTGAAAATTCTCTTCAGTTATGTCTTAAATTTTGTTAAGGGCTAATATTGTTGTCAAATGTAGTAGCTGATTTTTATTAGAAATATTGTTTGCCAGATGGCTTGCTTAAAGTCAGTTAAAATAATCTTTAAAAAATGGTCATTATAAAGCTTTTAATGAGTATTACAGGCAGTCTTATTAAAATTTCTTTAAATATTAAACAGTATACCTTCAGGCAATTAATGTAGTTTAGAGAACCTTTCAAGATAGACTGGAAAGCTAAGAAAAATTAAATAACTTGCAAGGCTGAATCTGCATTTTATGTATTCCTGAGAGCATGTATGTTCCCATAGTTTATTTTACTCTGTAGATTTTTGTTGTTGTTAGAGCTCCTGCTTCATTCTAATTTAACATTCACAAAGATTTTCAGCCTTCAGAGTTTTGAATGCTAAAATGGAATAAAGCAGATTGAAGTAAATTGTATGCCTTAATGTCAGAATTAGTTTTAGACTCCTAGAACGTTTATTTTTTATTAAATTTCAGCTGTATTACCAAGACATTTTAATATTCAGGTCCTTTTATGTGAAAGCAAAACCAGGATTAAAATGGGCCGAAGTATTGATTAGCAACTTTTTGAAGTGAACACATTGTCTTGCTTTTACACAAGGACGTTCACTTATTAGAGTAAATACCAGGTATGGAAGAGCATTTGAATTCACTTAGAGTATAAGTTGAGAAGGAATGCCAAAGAAATTTATTTTTCTTCTGTTAGTTTTTACATATGAAAAGATAGTAATGGGTTTCAAAAGTTATTTTGGGCCACAGCCCATTTAAAATCTCTCTTAATTTTACATTTTATTATAAATTTTTTTTACATTTTATTTAAAGTTCTTTTTTAAAAAAATATTTGAGAAAGTGAATGAGCAGGGGTGGGGAGTAGGGGTGGGGGGGGAGGAGCAGAGGTAAAGGGACAAGCAGACTCCTCACTGAGCATGGAGCCTGATGTGGGGCTCAGTCTCATGATCCCAAGATTTTGACCAGGGCTGAAATCAGGAGTTGGACACCTGAACAACTGAGCCACCCAGGCACCCCTTTTTTATAAAATTCTTAATGGAAATCTAGAATAGCTGCAGAAATTCACAGTAATACTGTTACTAATGCAGAACTAATGCTTTATTATAGAATATGAAAGGTATTGAAGTATATTCTCATAGTATATTTCATTCATTCTCCTTTATTATTGCTAAAGGTCCCAAGGCTCTATTTTATAAATAAAACTTGTGTTCTTTCATTAAAAAAAATTTAATCTTTGTAAATTGCTGTTGCAAAGCACTTCTGTTACCAAGTCTTTAGGTACAAATTTATTCTAGGGCAATTCTGTTGAAATAAATTGGTTGTTATTTGAATTACTTCTGTACTGTAGCCTTAAAACAATTCCTTTAAGTATGTTAATTAACTACATTTGTGCCTTAAAAATATTCTTAAGTTGTTGATTTGGAAAGAAAATTAGATTCTGCTGTACTTTTACTTTCATACTATGAAATGTTTAACAATATAGTTTTTTTAAGGATTAAATTCTAGGTAGTTATTTTAAAAATCTGTAGGCCATTTGAAGAGTATGTGTGTTTTTGTAGGTAGCCTTGGTATAGGAGATAGAAATTTGTTTGTAACCTTCATTTTTGTTTGCACATATAAAGTACTGTGTTTGTATATATGATCTCCTTCCTTCTTGGCTTCCTTCTGCATGTGTTTCTGTGTTCTTATTTAACTGAAAACTCAGAAAGGAAGAGGTCTGGATACATTTAGTTTAGACCTTAGTTCCACAGCACTTTAAACATATAAGAGAACTTCATGTTAAACAGGATAAATAAGCCTATGTATAAGAATTAGTAATTTGCTTGTTATTAATATGTATGTGTGCAGATTTGTGTAAATAGTAGCCCTGGTTTAGTATCAGTATAAGATACTAGAAATATTTACTATCATTGTGTTAATTAAGAAAATCTAGACTTAATTTCTAAAAATAAGTCCATAAAGGAGAATAAATATATTTTTGGTTGTACTTAACAATTGTTCCATTGTGCAAAACAGAACAAGGATCATTTCCAAACGGCCTCAGGTGAAATCTAATGGGAAACAATTGCAGACTGGTCTGAATTCACTGGTAGAAGAATGTGTCTTAGATAAACATCTGATCTAAGTTATAGTACTTTGTATTACTCTTTTTGTGATCAGCTTTTAAATTTTTTTAGTTTAATAAATATGGTTGGCTTTGCTAGATGAAATAAGACTCTATTATATTGTCTTTAATGTGGATTTTATAAAAGTACTTTTTTTGCAGGTTATTTTGATTTATGAATCTCAAACAGCCTTTTCTTATTATGGAATGTTAAATTTTTTTGCGAAGTGTTCTCCATAAAGTGAATATTTAGGTTGACATCAAATGCATATGAAAAGGCATAATTTAAAATAAAAGACTTGTTGCTCATTAGTTTTTCCTTTTTAACTTTCATATTGCACTTTTACTTTTCTTACAGGAGAGTTCTGATCTCCCTGTTGCTCTCCTTTTGGCTCAGCATAAAGATCGATCTACCCAGTTGGAAATGCAACTTGAGAAACCTAAACCTATAAAACCAGTGACATTCTCCACAGGCATCAAAATGGTAAGCTGTATTTTAATGGCTTGTTTGAAGAATGTATTTCAAGGATTGCACTTTATAACTTTATACTGATTTCTGCAGTTAAATTGGAAGGTTCAGATGCTTTTAGAACAGTATCTGATCTAGGCTAGACCTATAGAAACATGAATACACGCAGTGAAAGGGGAAAGTGAAAAGTAATAAATAATTTTCAAAGTATATAACACAATTTTGTTGTACGTGAAATTGGGTTTGTATGGTTTTTTTTCTTATTTTACATAAATTTTGAAGCTTGTAGTGTAGAAAAACATTCTTAAAGAAAATGCAGACTTCTGATTTCTTGTATGGCATGTAAGAAGCTTGGATATTGTCATCCCATTCTAACAACAAGTAAAAAGCTGAGCATACTGAAAAATCCAACAACTTTTCTTAGATCCATGAATGAAAAGAGGTCATAAGGCAAACCACTGCCCTCAAAATTGGAGAGATCGGTAGAGAATACAGGGAATCACAACTTAACTAGAGTAGCAACCTCGCCAGGAACTAGTGCTCGTATAGGTAAGTCTGATTGTAATTGACAAATTGCTGGAGGCTCAGTGTGGACAACTCTGAGAGTTCAGAACTCTCGGGGGGAACCAGTTATTGAGGGCCCTTGCACTTTTGTGAGTTTTACCTCTTGCATCTCTATCACGTTCTCTCAGTGAATATTAGAGAAAAATCCCCTCTTGCTTTTAGCAGAGAAAAAGGAAAAGGAACAATTTTGAAATATACAAGAGCATTTCGTTCTTCTTAATAAGGCCTACCATCAGGATAAACTATTTCGTCAGAGTCTAACCTACTGGAGTTTATGAGAACCTATCTGATGTAGGGGAAGGGAAATACCCAATTCCAGCTGTTCAAGCCTTCTGTATGGGAGAAGGGAAACAAATAGCTTCAGCGTACTCTAACCATTCTGCCCTGCCTAAGGGGCAGTGGGATGGATTGAGAAGCTCTTGTGAAGTTCACAGTCTAGAAGCACAGGCGCTCTAAAGGACTGGGACCTGATCATAGAACTATAAAATGCTCTGCCATCCCCCACACCTCACCACCACATTGCTAAAGGCCTATTTATAGCAGTGCCTTTTCCCCAGTCCATTATGCCTTGGTTGTCAAGAAAAAAATAATAAAACATATTAAAAGGCAGAAAACAAAGTTGGAAGAGACAGACCAAGCATCAGAACCAGGCTTAGATATGGCAGGGGTGTTGGAATGATTAGACTGGGAATATAAAACAATTGTGATTAATATGCTAAGGGTGCTAATGGATAATGTAGATGACATGTCAGAAAAGTGGGCAATGGTAAGGAGAAGGATGGAAATTCTGAGAAAGAACCAAAAAGAGATGCTAGAGAAAAGAACACTAACAGAAATGAGGAATAGCTTTGATGGGCTTATTAGTAGACTAGACACCCTGACAAAAAAATCTTTGAGGATACATCAGTACACTCCTTGAAAACTGAAAACCAAAGAGAAAAAGCCCGGAGGGGATAAAAAAAACCAGAACAGAATATCCAAGGACTGTGGGGTGACTATAAAAGGTATAACACATGTGTAACGGGAATGCCAGAAGGAGAATGAGAGAAAGTCACAGAATATTTGAAACAGTAACAAGTGAGAATTTCCCCCAAATTAACGTCGGATACCAAACCAAAGATCCAGAAAGCTCAGAGAACATTAAGTAGGATAAGTGCCAAAAGAACTACACCTAGGTACATCATTTTCAAATATCAGAAAATTGAAGATAAAAATTCCTGAAGCAGCCAGAGGGGGAAAAATACCTTGCCTATAGAAGAGCAAAGATACGAATTATATCTGGCTTCTCCTCAGAAATCACAAGAAGAGAGTGGAGTGAAATATTTAAGGTGATGAGAGAAAAAAATCACCAACCTAGAATAATGTACCATGCAGAATTATCTTTTAAAAGTGAAGGAGAGGGCGCCTGGGTGGCTCAGTTGGTTAAGCGACTGCTTTCGGCTCAGGTCATGATCCTGGAGTCCCTGGATCAAGTCCCGCATCGGGCTCCCTGCTCGGCAGGGAGTCTGCTTCTCCCTGTCCCATTCCCTGTTTGTGTTCCCTCTCTCGCTGTGTCTTTCTCTGTCAAATAAATAAATAAAATCTTTAAAAAAAAAAAAAGTGAAGGAGAAATTGGGACGCCTGGGTGGCTCAGTTGGTAAAGTGGCCTAATGTTGATTTGGCTTGGGTCATGATCTCAGGGTCCTGGGATTGAGCCCCACGTTGGGCTCCAAGCTCATGGGGGAGTCTCCTCTGCTCAAGGATTCTCTGTCTCCTGCCCCTCCCTCACCTTGTGCATGCACGTTGTCTCTCTCTCTTTCTAAAATTAAAAAGTGAAGGAGAAATAAAGACTATCAGACAAACGAGTTTTTTGCCAGTAGACCTTCTTTGCAAGAAATGTTAAAAGAAGTTCTTTTAGAGCTAAGGAAATGATAAAGGCAGAAACTCAAATCTAAATAAAGGAAGAGCATCAGAGAAGAAAAGAATGAAGGTAAAATAAAAACTTACTTTTTTATTCTTAATCTAACAGATAACAGTTTAATAAGAATACTGTATTTGAATACGTTTGCTTATGTGTATGTGTATACACACACACTCACTTATATAAGTAAAGTGAATGACAGTGATGATGTAAGATACAGGAGGAAGCAGAACTGTCTTATTATTATGAGGTACTCACACTACCAATGTTTTTCTCCCCAACTGCCCATTCAGCTACTGTTTTTTTTTTTTAAAGATTTTATTTATTTATTTTTGCAGGAGAGAGAGAGGGAGAGAGAGAGAGAGAAAGCGCACGCAGGCACACGAGCAGGGGGGAGGGGCAGAGGGAGAAGCAGACTCAATCCCAGGACCCTGGGATCGTGACCTGAGCCGAAAGCAGACGCTTAACCGACTGAGCCACCCACGCGCCCAGCTACTGTTTTTTGATTTTTAAAATTGCCTACCTTGTTAGTCATACGTGTGCCGCCTATTAGATTATAACATCTTGAGGGCAGAGGCTGCATATTTTTTTGTTTTATATAATTATGAATATGTGGGTACCTGAATAATATAAAATATTCCCGATCAATTTTAAATTTACAAATTTAGGAAGTATTAACACATTTTCATATAATGTAAAGAAAAAAATTATTAAGGAATTACAAAAGCTTTTGAATTAAGAGACAGTATAGAGAAAAGAAAATAGGCATGGAAAGACTCAGGTACAAGGGGATTAAACTTCAGCTTCACCACTCACCAGATGTCTATGCATGCGTAAGATACTTCTTTATTCTTGCTGGGTTTGTTTCCTCATTGGTAAAGTTGAGATAATTTTCACTTTATATGATTGTTTGGAGGATTAAAAATATATATATAGGGCGCCTGGATGGCTCAGTCGTTAAGCGTCTGCCTTCAGCTCAGGTCATGATCCCAGGGTCCTGGGATCGAGTCCCACATCGGGTTCCCTGCTCGGCAGGAAGCCTGCTTCTCCTTCTCCCACTCCCCCTGCTTGTGTTCCTGCTCTCACTGTCTCTCTGTCAAATAAATAAATAAAATCTTTAAAAAAATATATATATATATATAAAATGTTAACCACGTGCATCTTTAATGTTATCAGTAATTTTTTAAGAGAGGGAGGGGGAGGGGCAGAGGGAGATAAAGAATCTTAAGCAGGCTCTATGCCCAGGGCAGAGTCTGATGCCGAGCTTGATCTCATGACTCTGAGATCATGACTTGAGCCAAAACCAAGAGTCAGCTGCTTAACCAACTTCACCACCCAGGTGCCCCATCAGTAATGTTTATTGTTATTATTATAGTTAAATATCTAAGTGAATTACATAATGATTTTTTTACATTGTGTAATTAGGTAATAAAATATTTCCAAGGTTCTTGAATTTGAGGGAATTTTATGATAAATTTGTCATTTTGATACTTCTATAAATCTATGGTAGTGCTGTGACCATAGTGTTTTAAAGTTTTTTAAAATTTATTTTTTAATTCATATATAGTAAAGGTCATTCTTTGTGGTATACAGGGTCTTGACAAATGCATAGTTGTCACCTAGTCATAATATAGAGCAGTTCCATCCCTCCTCAAAATTCCTTTGTTCTACCATTTCATAGCCTGTACCTCCAACCCCCCTAAGCAACTAGTGGTTTGTTCTGTGTCTCTATTGTTTTGGGTTTTGTAGAATGTCATATAAAAGGAATCATGCATACAGGCCTTCTAAGTCAAGGTTTGTTAACTTAGCAAGATGTATTTGAGATCATGCATGTTGTTGTTGTTCCTTTTTATTGAGTAATATTACCGTTTTATGGATATACCAGTTTTTTTATCCATTCAACAGTTGAAGGACATTTGGATTTGTGTTTTGTTTTTTAATGATTATGAGTGAAGCTGCTATGAACATTTGTATACAGTTTTGTGTGTCCGTGAGTTTTCATTTCTGTTGGCTAAATACTAAGAATGAAATTGGTGAATTATATGGTAAGGCTATGTTTAGTTTTGTAATAAACTGCTAAATTGTTTTTCAAAGTGGCTGTACCAGTTTGCATTCCCACCAACCTTTTATTAGTGTTCCAATTGCTCTGTATCTTTGCCAGTGCTCGGTATTTTGAGTTTTAAAAATATTTTAGGCATTCAAAATAGGTGTGTAATGTTATTTCATTATGGTTCTAATTTGCATGTCCCTGATGACTAGTGACGTTGAGCATTTTTTCATGTGCTTATTTGCTATCAGTTTTTCATTTGCTCTTAGCATTTACTTTAATACTTAGGTATCTTTTTAGAAAAGGTTGTGACCTTATTATTTATTTTCTTTATTCTTCCCTCTCTCACAACTTTTTGTTTTGTGAAATGTAGTGTATATACACAAAAGTACACAGAACCAATTATCACAGAGTGAACATCTGTGTAATCATCACAGAGGTAAAAGAAAAATAAGTATTGTCAATGCTCTAGAAGCCTGCCTTATGACCCCTTAGACTTGGTAA